CCTCAGTAGAGTAGCAATCACAGCTCACAGCAACCTCCAGCTCTTGGGCTTAGGCAATTCTCTTGCCTCAGCCTCCAGAGTACCTGGGACTACAAATGCCCGCCACAACACCCAGCTATTTTTTGGTTGCAGCCGTCATTGTTGTTGGGTGGGCCTGGGCTGGATTCAAACCCGCCAGCTCAGATGTATATGGCTGGCACCTTAGCCGCTTGAGCCACAGGTGCCAAGCCAAAATTACAGTTTTTTTTTTTCCTAGTCTGGATTTTTGTTTGCTCCTTCGTTGTATCATTTATCTTTTTCTTCTACCTTCTTTTTTTTTTTTTTGAGACAGAGCCTCAAGCTATCCCCCTGGGTAGAGTGCTGTGGCATCACAGCTCGCAGCAACCTCCAACTCCTGGGCTCAAGCGAGTCTCCTGCCTCTGCCGCCCAAGTAGCTGGGACTACAGGCGTCCACCACAACGCCCAGCTATTTTTTGGTTGCAGCTGTCATTGTTGTTTGGTGGGTAGGGCTGGATTCAAACCCGCCACCTTAGGTGTATGTGGCTGGCACCTTAGCCGATTGAGCCATAGGCGCCGAGCCTTTCTTCTACCTTCTATTCTATGTTTCCTATAAATTGTAGTAATTTGAAAAGTGTGAATAAAGTCAGGTTCAACTTTTCTGGCAAGGACACTTCATAGACAGTGCAGTGTACTTCATATGGCTTCATCTCAGGAGGTACTGTTTTAGTGATGCTAAGACTGATTATTGATCCTGAACTCATTTCTAAGATCTTTTTACCCTGACTTTTTGTCTTTGCTCTGTTTTCCCCAGCCTAAAAGAGTGGTGATCACATGCCCCCAGGACTTCCCTCGTTGCTCCATTCCTTTGAGGGTTGGGCTGCCCCTCCTCTCACCTGAATTCCTGCTGACAGGTGTGCTGAAGCAGGAAGCCAAGCCAGAGGCCTTTGTCCTTTCTACTTTGGAAATGTCACCCACCTGAAAACTCCAGTACTTTTTCCTCTCCAATAAATAAAGTATTAGAAAATATTTTCGAGAATGAACTCAGGGCTTTAGAAAAGATTGGGGTATACTGATATGATTCCAAGGAACATGGGTGGGACCAGAAAGGTTTATGAGTAAACAGAAAGAGAGAGAGATTGGGAGGCACAGAGTTTTTTAAATGGCCATTTTAAAATTGGCTAATCCCATGCTCAGATATCTTAAGTGGCTGTTCATCTTTAGCCAGATTAATGTAGTTATTGCTCCATGGCACTCATAGTTTCCGGTCTCTTATTCAGATACCATCTCTCCTTTTTTCCTAATGGGATTCTTATTTATTCTTGAAAGACAGTAAAAACAACTTCGAGTTCAGGAACTTGAAGGGATAGATGCTTGGAGTAAGTGGATTTGAAGGTAAAGTCATGGAATGCATTTCCAGTATTTACAAAATTAGAACTTAGGTTTGACCTCTGTAATAAATAAATATTCACTCTGTGCCTTACAGTGTAGTGCAGTTTTTTGGTTTTTTTTTTAATGTCTGGGTCTTGAGACATGAACTTTAAAAAAAAATAGTTTATGGACTTGTATTTCATTATTATCTTCTATTTAGGGCAAATTATATACATTTCTAAAATTTAAATTTTAAAAGCTGATTGATTACAAGGATGTGGAGAAACTGGAACTCTTAAACATTTCTGGTGGAAAATGGTTAAGCTTCTATAGTAAATAGTGATGGTTCCTCAGAAAGTTAAACATAGAATTACCACATGATTCAGAAATTCTTCTCCTAGGTATATACCCCAAATCATTGAAAATAGTTGAAATATTTGTTCAAACATCAATGTTCATATGAGCACTTTTCACAATAGCCAAAAGATGGAAACAACACAAATATTCACCAGTAGATGAATGAATAAACAATTGTGATATACTCATATAACAATATTATTCAACCATAAAAAGGATGACATAGTAGTAAGTGCTACAATGTTTTGAAAATGAACCTCAGAAACATTTTGCTAAGTGAAAATAGCTATACACAAAAGGATACATATTGTATGATTCCGCTTACATGAATATCCTGCATGTGTAAATTTGCAGAGACCAAGAGCAGGTTTATGGTTGCCAGAGGCTGAGGGGAGGGGAAAATGGAGAGTAACTGCTTAATGGATATGGAGTTTTATTTTGGGGTGATGAAAATGTTTTGAAACTAGATAGAGATGGTGGTTGTACAAATTGTGAACATACTAAATGCCACTGTATTGTTGTATTGTTCTCTTTGAAATGGCTAATTTTATGTTGTGTGAATACCACTTCAATAAAAAAAAAAAGAGTGATTAGTTTTATATACTTTCCTGCATTTAAGTCATACTTAAGTTTGGAAAACTTTGGTATAGTAGAAATAGCATGAGCTGGCTCGGCGCCTGTGGCTCAAGCAGCTAAGGCACCAGACACATATGCCTAAGCTGACGGGTTCGAATCCAGCCCCAGACTGCCAAACAATAATGACGGCTGCAACCAAAAAATAGCTGGGCATT